ATGTATTCTCTTAAATTCAATATTATCTATTTATGAGAATGAAAAAAAAAGAAGAGAAAAATAAAGAAATGTTTCGTGTTTCGAAGAATTCGAGCCACCGTTCGAAGCTCGAATAGTCGAAATGGAGGATGGGCATTTGTTCAACGATCGGTACGAGGTATTGGAGGAATTGGGTAAAGGCCGATACGGAACCGTGAGGAGGGTAATCGAGAAATCTTCGAATACGAATTTCGCGGCGAAATTCGTGAGAACGATTAAAACGAAGGATCGAGAGCAAGTTCGAGAAGAGATCAGGATCATGAACATGCTACGTCACCCGAAACTTCTCCTATTGGCCGCCGCTTTCGAGAGCCCTCGAGAGATCGTGATGGTCACCGAATAGTAAGCATTGACCAAGAGTGAATATTTTGAAAAATATTTCGGGAAATCGATTAAAATGTGTTATGTACTTCGTAGTATTTCCGGTGGAGAACTTTTCGAGAGGGTGGTCGCCGATGACTTCACCTTGACCGAAAGGGACAGTATACTGTTCATGAGGCAAATCTGCGAGGGTGTGGAGTACATGCATCAGAACAAAGTGGTACACTTGGATCTGAAGGTGAGGAAATGGAACGGAATGGAAGATCTTGCGATGAATTTTATATATATGCGAAAATAAATACTGTATTCGTAACGAATTTACAAAAATTCTTTGCGTTTGTTATTTTTTTAACAAACATCATTAAAATTAAAATTAAAATCTTGTCGATCGGAAGATTTGCAAATATAATTGGATCGTTGTTCACTCAAATTTTAAAAAATAGAGAAACAATTAATTATTGTATTCCATTTTGCAATTTAAATTAATCTCTCGTTTTGAAAATTTCTCTTCGAATTATGAAACAACATAATTCATAGTGCTTCTTGCAATTAGTAATAATCAACCTCTATTATTATAAAGTCAATGAAATTTAATCACAGAGAAGATACTCGTATTCTTTCTTTCTTTTTTATATCGATTAAAATTTGAAATAAATTCCACCCGCAATTCCTCTTTTCAGCCGGAGAACATAATGTGCAGGACACGAACATCCCATCAAATCAAGCTGATCGATTTTGGCCTGGCGCAGACGCTCAAACCTGACACACCGATCAGAGTTCTCTTCGGCACCCCGGAGTTCATTCCTCCTGAAATTATAAATTACGAGCCAATAGGGACCGAATCGGACATGTGGAGCGTCGGTGTCATCTGTTACGTCCTGTGAGTAGATTAAAATGTTTTAAGGAATAATCAATCTCTCGAATAATCACGATAAAATCATGATCAGATTAACCGGTTTGTCCCCGTTCATGGGCGACAACGACGCCGAAACCTTCGCCAACATAACTCGAGCCGACTACGACCTGGAGGATGAGGCCTTCGATGCGATCTCGAACGACGCTAAGGACTTCATCACCGGTTTGCTTGTCAAACGAAAGGAGTACGTGATAAAATAATATTCTTTAATAAATAATAATAAGCTTTTCACGAAGCTATGTGTCATATCCGAAATTTGAAAGAAATATTTACAGGAACAATTAACTTTTATTCGTGAAATATTTTTGGAGAGTCAATTTATTTTTTTAAGATATGTCTTATTTATTATTCGACATTTTTGTATATCAATTTTTGCTTAAAATTTATATAAGTATCCGTCATACAGAAGTATAATATTGATTATCCAAACGGAAAACGAGTATATTTAAAGTAACAATTTTAAAAATAAAAGTGTTTAAAAAACTGATTTAAATATTTATATTTAAACATTAATTTTAATTTTGTTTCATAATTGAAATAAATTGTTAAGAATATTTCTTTAAGTATTACAATTATTTAACATACGAATGGGTGATTTATAGATCGCGAATGTCGGCTAGACAGTGTTTAGAGCACCCTTGGATGGCGCAACACGCGGAAGCGATGAGTAGGATAGCCTTGCCGACTGAGAAGCTGAAAAAATTCATCGTACGAAGAAAATGGCAGGTAAGAATTGCTTTTTCGTACAAGATGAAGAGCAATCTCTGTATTCTCACGCAAGACGCCATCTTGTTTGTACTTACCATTCGCTTACAATATATTTTATTGCATTGTTGTGTTAGATTGTTAGAGCGTTTTGAGTTTTTGTCTAAACACACTTGAAGCATTAACCTTTCTCGTCAAATGTTTGTCAAACCTTTCGGTAATTTTTCAGTGGAAAACAAACATAATTTTTTCTGTTTACATCAATCATAATTTATAGAAAAATTTAAGTAGAGTATGACAATGAATAAAAATAAAAAATGAATCAATGAACGCTAATATAATTTGTAAATTATATTATTCACGATTAATGTTAATTTATTTTAAAATTATTGAGAAAAAAATATACAGTTTAATTAATTAATTAAAAATTCTGAAAATCGCGTTAAGTCTAAAGTAAAATCTAAAGTATATAAAAATTGTCCAAACCAAACGATTTAATTTAAACCTCGAAATCGAAAAATATTCCACTGCTCCCGATCCCACTAACCCAAGCATGGATTTGATCGTATTTGCGTTTCGTGTGCGCTTTTCGTCTGTTAAAATAGAAAACGGGAAACGCCATTCGTGCACTCGGAAGGATGGCGATCCTTTCGGCGAACAGCAGACGGGGCCCAACCGCGATGGAATCCTCGCCAATCTCCTCTGCCAACCACCCCATCATAGAGCCGCCCCCAACGATCGATTTCGAGGGCGGATCGGCCGACGACGGGTCGAAATCGCCGTGCATCTCCGGGAACTCGACAGCGGAAGGGAAGAAGAACGAGAGAAGAACGTTCCTCGACACTCGAGAAACGAACGTGTATTCATTCTGTTACAAAACCGAGATGAACATCTTGCCGGAAGAAACCGTACACTCCCCTGGAGCGGAGGAGAGGATCTCATTCTCCTCGAACGGGAACGCCTCCTCGTTGAAAAATGAGCCAACGACGGAGGATGGCTGTGTATCGTGTTCCCCGGGAAACGAATCCGGAGAAATAATCCGGGAAACTGATACACCGAGCGGCTTGGNCAGAAGTCTTCTCGGCCGGAAGAGTCCGTGGCGCGTCCTATGGAGAGGATCGAGGAGGAGGAGACGGAGACTCGATCTCGTGTCGTCGAGGAGCGTGTATCGTCGTTAAAGGGGGAAGAGACGTCGTCGATCGTCGAGAGGAGTTTGATCGATTTCGATCCGACCCCGGTCGATGACGACCGCCCGAAATCCGATTTCTCGCAAACGAGGTCTTCTTGCAAACGGGAGTCGTGGAGCGACGAGGACGAGGACGAGGACGAGGACGAGGGGAAGGAGGAGAAAGGGGACATCGTTACGGAGATCGAGAAGGAATTGAAAGAGAAGATGGATCAGGAGGGGGGCACGAGCTCGCAGAAGATTCGCCGTGTTTTCAGGGGCGACTCGCGCGATTCTGGGATCGGTGACTGCGCCTCGAACTTGTCCACGTCGTCCCAACAGGTGAACGAGTTGGGTATATCGGCGATCAAGGAGGAGGAGGCGGACAACGAGAGTAATAATAATAATAATAATAAAGGATTGTTGGAAAAGTTGGAACGGTTCGAGGATCGAGGAACGTTGCTCGACGACGATATCGGGGAAATATCGGCGAACGTGGGATGCGTAAAAGTTTCGGATCCAAAGAGGCATACCAAAAAAAAAGGGAGTATCGAGGTAGCTGCGCTGAGCGGTGTGAATAAAGCTTCGCGTGAAATTAATCGGCAGCATGAAGGTGTGTTTCTCAATGTGCAACTCTTTTCCATTACGTTTTCTTTTTTTTTTTTTTTTATTTTACGTTACGATTACGTTAAATCTTGTTTAGAAGAAGGGTTAAGAGTTGAGATCGGCTTGTGTTTTTTCAGTGTCCAGCGAGATTGAGGACCCGAGGTTATTAATCGGAAGAATTCGTAGCAAATTCGTCCCGACCGGAAACGTGAGTCGTACTGCGAAATTGTTCGAGAAAGAGGCGGCTGCGGCGGCGGCGGCGGCGGCTGCGACATCCAAGTCATCCGGCAACGTTCCACAAATGTCGGAACGCGCTTATCCCTCGATCGCCACGCCAGCGAAGAAACCGAACAACGAAAGGATACAAAAGGCTTTCGCCTTTTGGAATAAATAGATCGTGGATTGAGAACGAAAGAAAAGAAAGGATCGAAAATATTCTTGGCGAAAATAAAAATAATTCGGGGATATTCAAAAATCGTTCGACTGAAAACTCTACGCGGTACCTATTATTACACTTTCAAGTGTAATTTTCTAGTTCTTTTCTTAAGGGAAATATAGTATATACGTAATAAAGTAAGTTGTTTTTTTTTTT